AAAATAATTATTTTCTTTTCTTATTTCAACTAAATGCAATCCTTTTTCCTTTACCATTTGGTCGTGTGTTTTCTGAAATTTACATAATATAAAGTAATATTACGTTATAAAATTTTTATGACGTATAATTCATTTAAGTCAAAACTTTAATTTTCACTAATTTTAAATTATTAATATACCTGTTGCAATAAACCAATAAAGAAAGCTTTTACAATATAAGCAACATTTTTAGATCCTTCAATTTTAGCATACAAATCTGTAATACCAATTGCTTCACAACATGTTCTAATAACTCGATGACATTTGAGTCCATAACCTTTAGGCTTTTGTTCTACGAATATTTTTGTACTTCCAAATTGTGTAAAAAAATCATGGAGTACTAAAAAAATATATATTTTATAATTATTGAAAATTTTTGAATCAATAATATATATAATAAAAAATTATCTACCTGTATGATCATTATACCTTTCAATATATATTAATCTTTGACCTGCTTTATTCTTAGCTGTATTTATGGTTGATTTAAATTCATTTCCATTTAGCATTACAAGCCAGCTAAGCCTTTTTTATTCCAGTAATGACACATACACGGCAACGTTTTGTACGACCCATATTACTTGTCATGATGGATAAGCGTTTGGCATATAAAATCCAAGATTCAAATCCTTCAAATGAGTCTGAAATGATGAACAAACGTAATATCGTATATTATTATTAACATATATAAATATATAATGTATATATATTAAATAATTTTATAACAAACCATCATCAATAGGATCAGGTGGTCCAATTTTTCTTCCACCTGGTTGACCTCCGGTCCACCCACGATGTAAAGGATGAGTTTTGTGTCGTTTTCGTTGGAATGTATTTTTTGTTTCTTGTGCATTCAAATAATTTAATTTTTCTTTTTCTGTAAAAGGCCTTTGTTCCAATGTAAAATCACCTTCTAAAACAGTAGTATTTAATCCTGGAAATATCATAGGTATTTTTCCAAAGCCAATTTTTTGATTTTTGTTTAGATCTTTTATTTTTGTAACACTTCTTCCTCTTCCTCTTCTTTTACCAGCATTACTAACACTTGTGACAGATTTCCATAATTCAGAAGCTGATTCTAACGAGCAATAATATTGAAGATTATTTAAGAATTTCCTTCGATAAATACTTTTTCAAACAATGAAAACAAAACTTACATACTTTTATTTAAAAAACTGGTATTTCTTATAATACTTTTTAATAATACAGTTTGCGATAACAACAAATTACCAGAGATAGCTGAAAGAAAATGATTTATGTTTATAATTTATTTATTGATAAATATAAAAATTTAATCTAATCTAAATAAAATGAAAAATAAAGAACAAACAAAGTTATGTAAGAAAAGAAAAAATTTTTTTAGGTTATATATAAGCAAAACGTATAATTACGAATAATGTTTTATGAAAAATATAAAACTTGAAAAATGTTTCGTGGAAACTACCATTATTGGTTACGTTGATATTTTTTATACAATTTGTAACTGTTTTACAAACACGAAACAATCCATTTGCCATCATTTTAACCATAAAAAAATATACAAATATACTCAATATATAAAAATTTTGAATGTGATATTTTGTTCAATAAGAAAACAACAGATGTCGCCTAATGCTATAAATCGAAATAATATTTTTTTTTCATTTAGTAGTAGAAAAAGAATTTTATGAAATTAAAAAAAAAAAAAAAAAAAATAGAACAGTTTCTTTAAATATTATTTATTATTTATATCTTAAATATTCGCAATTAAAAAATTCGAATGATTATTTTTCACATAATTTTTGACTTCTCGTTCAATCGATTATTACGCAAATGAAAATTTTGAACTAAACATTAGAATTGCAGAAACAAGATAAGCTTGCATTCAAAAAAAAAACCCTAATTTTCGATTCATTTAAATACGAAAACTAATTATCGTTTCATCCTTGGCAAAACGATATAAAAACAAATAAATATAATCTATCCAAAAGAAAAAAAAAAAAAAAAAAAATAGCCAATAAGTGGAAGACGCAGGTAGCGACACATCGCATCGCGATATCGAATGTGGTATCGTGACATCGATGGGTTACAGTTACGTACTACTGTTCGCGATACGGTTGGTCGGTAAAGTCGTCATAACTAGGCGGAAGAAGAGGGAAATACCCGGGAGCGGGTAAATTTTTGTAAGGACAAACCGAAACGCGAAACGAAAGGAAAGGGACAAAGACACAGATAGGGTAAATCGAGAAAGAGAAATAGAAAGGGAAGCGAAAGGAAAGGTGGGCTGTCCCGAGGCCGGTGGCCATGAGACGCCACCAGATTAGGTAGTCGAGGTGGTCTCTGGCAGGGAGTCGGAGGATCAACGCGCGATAGGCGGACTCGTAACGCAAGAGTCGAGGGTTTCACCAACGGCGTGGAGGCGGCCACCGCGGTGCAACCCCGAACGAGCGTTCAACCATTCGGAAGGTGATCCAATGGAATTGCGAGAGCACGCCGATTGGCGGATCTCGTCCAATGAGAGGTTGGTTAGGGTAGTCGGGTTCGGCTTGGAGGTCGGTTAGGTAGCCCCGCGAACCCCCCTGGAGGCTGGCGAGTGGGAGCCCTTCTCTCACACGCAAAAGGGGACATCTCATCACGACTCTTGGTAGCAGGCACTTCTCCGTAGTGGGCACTCCACTCATCGTGTCGTCGTACGGGTTCTCCGCGAGAGGCTGTGGGGCCCGAGCCCGGACGAACGAACAAACGAACGAACGAACGAACGAACGAACGAACGAGCGAGCGAGCGAGCGAGCGAGCGAACGAACGAGCGCGACCGGCCGAGCCGCTGGTCGAGTGGGTCTAAGCGGCCGTGAGGACCTCTCCAGGAGTACCCGACAGTCCTCTTCATTCATTCATCCATCCATCCATCCATCCATCCATCCATCCAGCCAGCGAGCGAGCCAGCCAGCGAGCGAGCCAGCTAGCGAGCCAGCCAGCCAGCAAACCATCCATCCATAGACGCTCTCTCCTCTCCTACGGAGAGAGAGTGTATCCTCGACGAAGGTGGAGGCGAAACGCGTAGAGTGGTACATCTACCATCGTCTCTCTATCGGCAGAGTCCAAGGACTCGAAGACCCCCCGGGTGATTTCAGTCGGCCGCCGGCCGGCTCTGGCCGGCCACTACTTCTCCACCACGTGTGTGTCATCCTTCCGTTCGCCGAATCGTTTCGTATCCTTTCGCAACGGATCGTGCCGTGTCGTGCCTTCTCTCGGTGCCGTGACGTAACCGGATCGTGTTGTGTCTCTACGTGTGTCTCAACCCCGACCTCCTTCGTCCCACAAAAGAGGACCGATCATCAGTCGTGTGCAACCAGCCTCCTTCCTTCCAAGGAGGGAGCTTCGTCCGGGGACACTGGTCATACTGTCATTTTTATCAAGGTAGACGGTTGTTGGCCCGACCTTACCAACCTCCTCGTTGCTCCATTCGCGAAGAAAATTTTTTTGCCAAATTTCAGTTGTGGTTTTTCGAGTCTCTGACCTCGTCCCACTTTCGTCGATACGACATGACCTGTTGAACGGATAGAACGGATCGAGGATGACGCGGTATCGTCGCTGGACAACGACGCTCAAGTTCCGTGTGCACCGATGCGATGGACGCGTTTCCCAAACTGCATCCAATCCGTTGATCCGACGTTAGTGAAAACCGTCCGTGAGATGCGCGTTATCAAAAGTTGTACCTTGACCATGAAACGATGCAACACCTTTCAGTGATCGGTGCGTCCGTTAGGATTATTCATCGGTGCACGATATTATTTATCGGCACCGATTAACGGAACGAAGTGTAACTGTGAATGATTTTTTAAAACTGTGCTACGTGATGAATCCAGTCTTTCCTTCGAGATTAGACGATCGCTCTTGTTGAACCGACACCTTAGAAAAGAGCGTCGAAATTTTTCTTCGATTCACCACTACAAAAAAAAAAGAAGAGACATGTGCAGTTAAAAAGGAAAAAACGAAAAGTACAATCGAGTATAGATAATAGTGAGTATAGATAATATAGTATACGTAAAAAGGAGAGAGAGAGAGAGAGAGAGAGAGGAGGGAGGAGGAGAGAGAGAAGTAAAA